TAATCAGAAATTTATGGACTACAATTACGCCTCATTAAGAAAGCTTTTGGTTGTTCTTTAGAGTTTCTCGAAAACTGATTTTCCAGAAGACCGGTCTTTGAAGGCCAAGCAGAGCATTCATGGTGATATTCGGAATCAGCATCGTCGACTACCTATAGCCCACTCAGTTTCGTTGAAAAAGCGATTTATCAGTTGGGGTACTTCCCTCGTGAGGAGTTAATTACCCGAATAGGTGTAAGTAAATATTTTACCAAGTTAGACTTAAAATCTGGACACTTCCAGATTCTTATTCATGAACAAGACAAAGAAAAGACTGCGTTTATAACCCAGGATGGTTTATGGGAGTTTAATGTTATTCCGCAAGGTATCAAGAATGGTCCACCTACCTTCCAACGAGTAATGCATAATTTGATTGGTAACGGTCGTTGGAATTATGTAGTGGTTTATCTTGACGACATACTAATATTTTCCAAAGACTCCACAAAGTAACAAACAAAACAAAGAAAACAAAACATGAATTTTACTGGTATAACGAACAACAAGAAGCATTCGATGAATTTAAACGCATACTTACAATTACACCATTATTTCTACAGTATCCGGATACAACAGCACCATTCATCTTATCAACGGATTCATCAGCAATTGGAATCAGTGGTATTCTACGTCAAAATACCAAAAGTGGCACATGAATTTGTTATTGTTGTTGTCGTACATTGACCGATACAGAAAAACGTTAAGATCCAATTGAACGAGAAGCATTAGCCATCTACTGGAGTGTGAATGAACTTCGTCAATATCTTGATGATTCTTTCTTTTCAGTTGAAACAGATAGCAAACCCCTGATAAATTTTCACAAGAAACAAATTGCTAACAAACGTGTTATCCAATGGCTACTCAAACTACAAGATATTCTCCATCAAATTACCGAAGTTAAGCATCTAAACCGAGATATAAACACTGGTCCAGATTACCCCTCGAATCAGCCGCTATCGCATCGTTCGAACTTACTAACGGCACCTGATGACGACTAGCTCCAGGCACTGACACGCGGGATATCACACCAGAACGTTCACTGTCCTTCTTCGAGCAACTGAACGCGGTTATCACTCGTCATCAAGCAAAACAACAAACGGCTCATACTCCCTCTTCAGTTCCCACAAGATCCAACTCCATCGACACCTATATTCGACTTAAGTCTTGACCGTGTATACCAAGCACAAATCAAAGATCCAGACATTGAGGAAATGTGGAACTTCTTCGAAAAAATCCATCCCAACTCTCACTCGAAATCAAAAATGGAATTCTATGCAAATTATTACCATGCGGAAAAATTAAACGTGCTCTACCATACATTCCAAAAGTCTTATTAACCCTTTGGCGACGGGAGACGTACATATACGTCCGATCTTCCCACTAGAGAGAAAACTATCAATAAAGTTTTTTTGTTCAAAAACCGAATGTTAAGTATGCTGTTAGACCCAGTTTTGTCTGCTGATCTCAAATATGTTATTACTTTTGCTTGAAAATATAAGAGAAGTGAAAAGGGAGCAAAATAAGTGAAATGGCGAAGGTCAGAGGTGAGTGCGTAATCTTTCTGACAAAAGTTTCCCATACGCTTTTCGGAATCATAGGTTTCTATGACTGTTTTTCCATGATTATGATGTACATTGCATGCAGATTCTATAGTATAAAGAGCGACCCTTAGTTCGCCGTCCTCTCTCTTCTACGTATGTTTCAATCACGGGTGATCGTTCTCAATCAATTTTCAGAAGCACACAATAGTTAATCTTCGTACTTTGGCTAGATAATCTACAGACACTCTAGAGCCTTTGATGCGAATTCGAAGTCAAAATGATGCTCGAAGACTGAGTTGTGAATTTTTTTCGAAAAGGAGCTTGAAGTTTCGACAAAAAACCGCGAACCTCACCCGTAAAATAGCTGTATTTCACAGACTACTAACTGCCAACTCACGAAATTCATATCGTAGATAGAATAGAGTCGTGGCTACATTCTGGTAAAAAGAAAAAGTTTTCATCTTTCTTAGATGAGGAGCTGTTTATATTTTACGGAAAAGAAATAAATCACTTATACCTCACGAATCACCGAGTAAAAGAGACCCACACTTGGTGGACGATCAGCATTTGGTAAGAACTATGACCACACAAAATTAGAAGTCACTAGCTGTTATGATTCTTGAGTTACAGGAGTGTTGCGACATTTGACTGTCGCTGGAAGCCTATATATGGGCTTCCAGTCACGAAAGGGTTAAGGATATATTATTCACACATTACGACCACCATTTAGCCGGTCATTTTGGTGTCGATCGTACGTGGAACAATATTAAAAATAAATACTATTGGCCCAACATGAAAACGACAATCGAAGATTATATTCAATCATGCCATCAATGTGCACGATTTAATATACAACGACAAAAACCACTTGGTCTCTTACAATCTATCGAACCTCCCGATGAAAGCTCCCAAGTACTCGATCTCGACTGATGAGGTCTGGTTCCTGTTTCATCCGACGAAAACAAATACATTTTAATTATAACCGATCGTCTATCTGGCAATGTTATTGCTAAAGCTTCGCCAAATAACACGGCTCAAACAACTGCTATATTTATCTACCAGCAGTCGTTTTTGCATATAACAACGCTCAACATCGTACATGTGGGTTCACACCCTATCAGCTCGCGTTCGGTCGTTTATCGCGTAATCCATTTGATTCACCACGTCGGATTTTAAATTCCGACTACCAACGATAATTGGCTACAACGGCTTGTCCAGCTAACGGTCTCCTTTTTTCGCTCTTTTTCAAAGAACTATGGGAATAAAGTTAGAAAATAATCTAAAATTACAACTACTTAGATAATTGAGTAGATTAAACATTTCTCTATAAAATGAAAAGTGTCTCGGTTCTGAACGTTGATTCATTATGAAAATACAGCTGTTGTACAAACAGCCCCAAAACTCGATGTTGAGGCTATCTAAAAAGCGTGTCTAAAAGAGTGAAGACGAGCTGGCAAAAATAAACCAGTATACCAGTTTGTGGAAAATTGTTTGCTCTACAAGATGTGATAGCTTGTCAAGTTCGAAACTATTCTAATTAATCTGTATTAATCAAAGAAAAACTAGAAACCCGTGGCGCCGTGACAAAAAACAGTCAAAAGTGTCACGGCGTCACGGTTTTTCTTCGATTAATACAGATTAATTAGAATAGTTTCGAACTTGACAAGCTATCACATCTTGTAGAGCAAACAATTTTCTACAAACTGGT